AAAACGATTCTTCTTCACTTTTTGCCACGTTTGCGCAACAAGCAAAAAAGTTAAGCTCAGCAGGGATCCGATCCCATGACCTGTTGCGTGGTAAACGCGGCTCCATAACTCCGTTCAGAGAATCGTTCTGCAAATTTCGAAGGCAGATTCGAGATCAGCGTCCAAAACCACGTCTAGTGAGCTACATCTCATTACAAATGGCCACTTCGACCTGACGACCTTCCCTAGTCAGATTGCTTGAGAAACACATCCTACTTTACACCATGGTTGCTGCCATATTTTCGATCGATGAAAAGAGGAATCTATTCGATCGCTCTTTACTGCCTCGGTTTTCGAAATTCTGGTTGAAGTTTTGATCTGTCTGAAGCCTGATCTCCACGGTAGCTTGACCTCCGAAACATGGGTATCACATTCGCTCTGCACAGAACGATTTAGCGTTCGCGCTTCAAACGCCGACGTCGAAATAGGCTTGGAGGCAGCGTTCAGACTTGTCGCGCTGCAATCGCTGCGCTCCAATTGCAGTGCTGCAATGTCGCGCTGCAATTGTCGCGCTTCATTTGTACAAGACCCCAGCTTCCCTTTATGTTCTTTCTTCCGGTATTCAATTCCTTTTTCAGTGTTTCTCTGTTTCTGTTTCATTTTCTACCTGATTCTTAGCTCCTCTTTTTCACTTGAACATTGAATTTTAATGTAGCTTTTGATACAGGAGTCTGTGTTGAATTTTAATGTAGCTTTTGATACAGGACACTGTGATAATGATTTTGTATACCGTTTTCGACTTTAATTATTCAGTCTCAGGGTTGCTATTGATGTTTGATGTCTTGCAGTGGTGCATCATGTTGATCCCGATTACGAAATTGTTTTCGTTCTGTTCAATGTTCCTCTGTCTCAATTTTGTTCTGTTTAAATTAAATGTTGAAAAGAAAAAGATGAGCTAAGAATCAGGTAGAAATGAGAAACAGTGAAAAAGGAATTGAATACCGAAAAAAGAACATAGAGAGAAGCTGGGTCTGGTACAATTGAAGCGCTTCCCCGTTTCCTGAGCTGTTCGGATGCGTTCTTGAGGATTTTTATCCTCGGCTTCGTCCACTTCGGCGAACGCCCCGCCCATTGTGGGCGGAGCTTAGGTGACGTTGTGTGTGCTCTGCAAATGCTGGCCCATGTCCACGTCTATTCTAAGCACAATCAGTGCCCTTGAAGTGAATTTCCACGAATTCCACGAAACCCCAAACAACTTCTGGTTTATATATAGAAAGATGATCCCTCTTTTGCGGCTTTAAAGTGGGTGACGAAAGCGCTGTGGCTCTGTGGCAATTCTGATGTTCCCCCCCCCCTGTAGTTGCCACGCCCTCCGAAAGTGAAAGGCTCTTGTGTCACGGCTTACGTGTTTACAATTTTCTTTCCACTTTTGGATAGTATTAGCGCTGGACGATTGGAGAAACCGATTAGTGAACCAGAAGCGGCAGGATACCTCTTTGCTGGCAAAAAGAGCAGATCCTGAAAACTCGTCCAGAGAGGCTGCCAGGTCCTTACTTACGTGTTCTGTCATGATTTTTTTGCTCTTTTCTTGCTGGGAAATCACTTAGCAACTATGATTAATCGAACGCCATTATCCACAATATTGAATCGGAGTTTGCCTTTGAGCAAATTCTCCGATTTGA